CCCTCCAGAGGCTGTGTCCATTGCCTTAGGGTCCTCCTGAGTCACAGTGATTTCTCTCTGGGCAATGACCCCTCCTCAACCTGCCTGCCTCTCCTCAGGCATTGCCTTCTCTGCTGCACTAAAGAGCAGGCAGCAGCTCTGAGTGCCTCGCAACCCCAGAGACAAGCTGGGTCCTTGTCCCTGCCCTGGATGTTCAAGAATTGGGAGTTCCATGATGGAGCACTTGGCAGGCTGAAACAGGAAGGGGAGGGTGGGCTGAGTCTGAGGCTAGCCTGAGCTACAAAGTAAGACCCTGCCACAAAACAAAACAATGCCCCCTCTCCCTCTGGCCCCTGATATGAGCCTACAAAGATACTTGGCAACATATGTGAATTCGCTGGTTCACATTAAAGATTTTAAAAAATTGTATGTGTATGGGTGTTTGGTCTGCTTGTATGTATCTGTACCACACCTCTGTGTGCTGGATCCCCTGGAACTGGAGAGCACTGGATCCCCTGGAACTGGAATTGTAGACAGCTGTGAGGCACCATGTGGGTCCTGGGAATCAAACCCAGGTCCTTTGCAAGAGCATCCCGTGCTCCTAACTACTGAGCTGTCTCTCCAACCTCAAGATTTACCTGTGTGTGTGTGTATGTGTGTGTGTGTGTGTGTGTGTGTGTGACCCACCATGTATGTGGGTACTGGCAGAGGCCAGAAGAGGGAGCTCTGGAGCTAGAGTTGGGAACTGAACTCAGGTCTTCTGCATGAGCAGCCACTGCTCTTAAAGGCTGAGCCCTCGCTCCAGCCCCAGCCTTGCTCCAGTTAATGCTTCCCAACAGCGCCTGTGGCTTTGACCCAGAGTCAGAGTGGTCAAAGGTGTCAAACTCAGAGGCCACCTCCTCACCTCAAAGAGCAAAGGAATCGGAGATGAAAATCTCTATTTATAGTTTAAAAGGCCTGAACTGTCTTTCCTCCCTTCGGTCGTCCTTCACGTCATGACTTGTTTCTCTATGACAGGCTGTCACCGAGGCAGAGGACAGGATCAATATAATACCGTGTGGGGATTTTCTGGCGGTCGTCTGTCCTGTTTTCTCAGGCTGTGTGTAGGCACAGCATTAATAACCTTGGAGAATAAACAACATCACCAGCTACAGGATTGGGCCACGCTGATGTTGATTGATATCTGCTTCTAAGTGAACCTTTCAGCGCTGGGTGCGCCCCACAAATCCGAGGGTGTGGTGTTCTTTTGGTTCGAAAGGAAAGGGGAAGAAATAAGGAAATTTAACTCTGCTCCTGCCCCAGGCCAGTTGAGCATTTAGAGCATTGAGATGGACAGAGTCCAGTCCTAGGTCTGTATAAACTCCGGCTACATTTTCTTTTTCTTTTTTCTTTTCTTTTTTTTTTTTTTTTTTTGGTCTTGTTAATTTGACTAGCTTTAGTTGTCTAAACCCAGTCCAGTAGTAAAATTATATGGGCAACACCTGTCTATCAGAGGGAGCATTTCCCTTTATAAAGACTGTAGTTAAAGCAGCATTTTACTGAGAACAAACAGCCCTAGAAGATTATCTAGGCCAATGAATTCCTAAAATCCTGTCTTTCCCTATTCTTCCTGTTTACTTTTCTATGTACACTTTGAGATACTGTTTCTCTCTCTCTCTCTCTCTCTCTCTCTCTCTCTCTCTCTCTCTCTCTCTGTGTGTGTGTGTGTGTGTGTGTGTGAGTGAGTGAGTGAGTGAGAGAGAGAGAGAGAGAGAGAGAGAGAGAGAGAGAGAGAGAGAGAGAGAGAGAGAGAGAGAGAGAGAGAGAGAGAGAGAGAGAGACCTGTGTTTGCTGACCCAGCCTATAGGAGACTGTCTCCTCACTGGGTTTCATTCCTTGCAAACCCCGCCCAGTGTTAACTCCTGCTCACAGGGGGCCTGGTTTTTCATGTAAATAGGATCAGGTCTATTTGAATGCGATGTCTGAGAGGGAGAACAGTCCTCCTGGGTGTTCACTTCATGGATTGAGCCAGTCTGCCACAAGTAAGTCAGTCTCCCACCCGAATTGACTCTATTTCCTGGTTTTCTTTGCTTTTAAAATAGGAGATTCTCCCTCACAATGTCTCCAGGTCATAGGGTGGTTGGTGGGGTTAAGGTCTTGAATGAGCAAGGGATGATGGTTTAAGAGGGGTTTAAACTACTCCTATCCCACCCCACATGCACAGCTGTCTAGAAGGTTTTCTCTCCAACTCTCCTACACCCCAATCCCAAATTTGAAATGAAATTTGAAGAACAAGAGGCCAATCTCCTTACTCTGGCTATTGTCATATGATGAACAAACACTTTGCTGGGCTACACTTATGACAAGTAGGATTGAGTTCTGCTGTCATTACCTGACGGTTGGGATTTATTAAGGTTAACAGCTTGAAAGTTAAATCTGACTGCTTCTACAGTATCCTTCAGAACTATGGGGAGACAGATGGACCCTTGGTGTGTGAGGTTTCTCCCAGATCACATAGGACATTTGTGTAGTCGGTAATCATTTGTCAAGACACTTCTGAGAAAGTTTCAGAGCATGATATGGAAGGCTTTCTACTGTGTAAACGGGACCCTCTGGCGGTACTGTCTAAGGTTACAGCTGAGCATAAGGGGACTCTGTGGGGCACACTGCAGATGAGACTTGTCTGTGACACTATAGGGACACATCATACATGTTTGCTATAGTTGTGCTTTGGCTTTAAAGAGGACAATTGGGCTTTTTAAACAGAAGTTTTGTTAAAAATAAAAGGTATGGTATGTTCCCTTTCTCCCACTTTTGGAAGGCGGTGTAATGGAACACGAACACACTTCTTCCTACGCTCAAGCATGAGCATCAAGGCACCGGCGGACAAGGCTGCCGTTAGTACTGCAGCTGATCAGCGTGGCCCGGCTTGTCTGTTAATGAGCTTTAAGTGTTCTTTAGAGAAATCAATTCTTGACTTTTATGAGGTATGACAGCCAATGGGATGGAGCAATACTTAATCTGCTACATTTTTTATAGCTTCGTTTCATGTATGTCCTATACATAAGTAAAACTGCAATCACTATATATTTAAACAGAGATAGGGCCAGCACTATTTAACTACCTGTAGGTGATTGGGTACAACTCTTCCGTGTTTGATCACTATCCCAGGTAGCTACAGGCTGTGCATGGAACAGAACATCTCAGTGTGTTTAGATATCTATAGATGTCAATCAAACATTTTAAAATGTGAAAACAAAAGTAAAGAAAATCCTTAGAAGAAATGAAACAGAAGCATAAGCAGTGATACAGATTCTTATTCTTTTCAAATTCAAGAATTTCTCCTTTTTTGTATTTGAGGTAAACACATTAAGATTAATATTTAATTTTTAAAAGATTTATTATGTGTCCATGTGAATGTACACTTGTGTACATGCAGGCCCCTGCAGAGGCTGGAAGAGGGGTATCAGAGCCCCAGGAGATGGACTTAGAGGTTGGAGTGAGCCACCACTGGGTTCTGGGAACTGAACTCAGGTCCTCTGCAAGAGCCACCAGCTCTCTTAACTGCTGAGCCCTCTCTCCAGGCCATGCCTATATTTAAGTCTTTATAAGTCTCAATAGTTGAGCCACTTTCTTTCCCAAAGCCCCGTGTCAGTGCATACTCAAAGTCATTCTGCAATGGAGAAGACACTGTATTTAGTCCAGTGTTGCAGTGTTGCTCAGAAGCCTGGCTGCTTCTCAGGCTCTTGGTGGACTCTCCCCTGGCCTTAATTCCTTGCCTCTCCCCCTGAAAACTCTCAGCATCACAGTTTGGGGAAATGAGACGATGGGTGTATGTTGTTTCGGGGTACACGCAGAGGCCAGAGACTCTCCATGCAGGAGTCACTTCTCCCTTTGCACTGTTATTGGTTTCTAGGGATTGAACTCCGGTCATCAGAGCTGGCATCAGCACCTCCACCTTCCCAGTCCCTTAGCTGCCCCTGACGTTTGTAGGTTTTAACAAACTAAGGAAAGGTAGACTGCTGGACGGAGGGTTGGTCAGCGAGAGAGCTCTTGCCTGGTGCGGTCAAGGCTCTTGGTTCATCAGGACTGCCCAAAGCCAATAATGAGATAAAACAACTAAAACCAAGCCCTCACCACAGCTCCCTGTGACTCTGCTCAGTGTTTTCTCGAAGGTGTTATCCTTCTGTAGAAGCCTGCCATTGGCTGTAGCCTTTGACGATTCTGCATCCAGTTGGTCATACAGTTTATGCACACCTGTCTGTAGTCATGCGTGCTTTCATTTGACCTTGCCTGGATCTGCTTCAGACATGCTAGATAGAATGGCAGCAGTTTGGGATTCAGTTTCCTTTCCTCAATCCATAACAACCAGGGCGATCTCACAGGAAAAGCCCAGGGCTTAGAGGGAGGCGCCAGACCAGACCAGTGCCTCACTCTGCTCTTTGAAAGAGTGAGCATGTGCATAAACCCTAGTGCTGCCCACCAGCTCCTCTCCACTCGAGAGCCCTTCCTATAAATGTAAAGGTCCAGACGAGACTTGCACAGCTTGCCCTGAAAGTCCACCGCCACTCCCTTTGAATGGAGTCGTGGATGCTGACATGGTCACCATCTGTCAGAACCCTGCAATGTGGATTAAGTCTAAAACATATCATTCATCTAGCAAGAAACCCAAGAGCCACTTCAGGTCAAAAGTTGGATGCTGAGTAACAGTCTCACAGATGAAAATGCTGCACTCAGGTAGCGCTTCCCCTGTAAGGAGAACATGACACAAGTGTGTGAGGTAAACTTCATCTGCCCTTGGGGCTTAGAATATGTTTTGCTCAAGGACATGTCAGGTTCTCTTGAAAGTGGGATATTGCCTCTGAGAGCAACTGTTAGGAAGTGTGCCATGAAGATCCCCTGTAAGGTTCCATTCCCAGACCCTCGCCAGAGCAGAGCAAATAGTAGCTTCGTTTAGAACTGTTGGGGATGTTTGCCTAAAGCTGCCTTTCTGGGATGGACTCTGTCAGATCTCTGAGCGTGTGTCTCCTTGTTCCCTGCAGGAGAATGGTGCCGGCCGCTTGTATTCTGAGAGCTTGCCACCGCTCAGGTTTGCTTTTGAACTTGGGTTCTTGTTCCCTTGGTGTTTAAGGGAAGTGTTTGTCCTCCATGTTGAAGACATTTCTCGTATCCTTTCATCAGGGAGTATCTCACACAGCCATCAACTGATCACACCTCGTCCTCAGAGAGTACCGTGACGTCAAGCGGTGAGTAGCTGTGGCGGGGAGAGAGAATCGGGGTTCTTATTGCAAACTGAGCCCTGGTGTCTGGCGGCCTGCTGAGGCGTGTGTGCAGGTAAGAGGAGCCTAGGCAAAGGAAGCCTTTGCGTGGCTCTCACGCTGTCAGCCTCTTCCTGCCGGCAGAATCAGGATCAGACATTTTGCACATGACGTCTGGTGACCTCGACTGCAAGTCCCTCTGCGAGAAGGAGGAGGAAGCAGGATCGGCCCCCGCCATGTCAGGTATGCTTTCGAGGGGCACAAGGGCAGCCCCAAAGCAAGCAAGCCCCTAGGCGGTGCCTGCAAACTAGCAAAGTCGATGGCCTTGGTGGCTTGATACGGCTGGGCACTCCTTTTCGGAAAACAGTTCTTGTAAAGCACCTTGAGGACATAGTCTGGAGATGTCTAAGAGGCAGCCCCATGTATGAGGGTGCCAGTGTTTTCTTTCAACTTTATAAACAGAAGAAAGACTGCAATAGATTATAGCAGGCCTTAAATGTTGCCACCTGGTAGAAATGAGTTAGACTCGGTTAGGTCTCATCATGTCAGCCCCAGCTCTAAAATTTAAGGAAAACCAGAAAACTTCCATGGGGGGGGGAAATCATATTTTCTAAGAGAAATTGATACCTATTTTGTTCTTATTTCTTAATGTCTTTTGTAACACCGCAAAGGGCTATTGTTTCTTGAAAAGCGCCGAGTGTTAGGTAGTGTCATCAACCTCTGTGCGGTGTGTGCAAAAATGAACAGACATTACCAAACATGACGGAGTGTCCCCAAAGTGTCCCTTCCCTCAGCTTGGTAGCCTGATGTTTGGAAGTGTCCAAGCTTTAGCAGAATGTCACGGTCACTGCCACCCTTGCATACGCCATTTACCAAACATTTCGTCAAGCTGCATGAAAGCCAACTTCCAACTGTGTCTCCTTCCCTGTAGCTGCCATCGGCCAGTAAGAGCTTTAGTAGAAAAGGGCAGCATTGTCCCAAGAAAAGCTTAGAAACAGCCAGCCAGTCCTCCGTGCGAAAGGCCGTGCCTACAGACCGGGAAAGACCCCGGCTGCTCCGTCCCTGGCTGTGCACGGGCAGACGTGCGTGTGCTCGGGGGCGATCTGACTACTGTCACGCGGCAGCCTTTGCTGTCCCTGGTCTACCCACATTACCACCCTCAATGCTTCTTCCTCTTTTGCTTGCCACCGACTCGCCCTCCATCTTTCACTGTTTCCTCTTCTCACAGGCACCAGCCCAGCTCCGGGGACCGCAGTCCTCGGGGACTCCGAGAGTGTGGACAAGGCTGCTGTGTCGCACCTGGTGAGGGAACAGTCTCGGTTAATGGTAAAGGCAGTGACGAGTTGTGAAGACCCAACTGTCCCTTCGAACTTACACAATGCTCTTTAGAAGTCTTGTTTCACTCTTTCAAGATATTAGGAAAGAAATACGAGTTACTGGAATTTAATTACATGACCAGCGTATTATTGACTTGAAGGTGATGAATGAGCTACACCAATCAGTAGTGTGTGTGTGTGTGTGTGTGTGTGTGTGTGTGTGTGTGTGTGTGTGTGTGATAGACAGAGAGAGAGAGAGAGAGAGAGAGAGAGAGAGAGAGAGAGAGAGAGAGAGATGCTGATCAGGCATAGAAGCAGACAGTCAATGATTATTGTGAAATTAATGGTTTGAAAGAAGCGCTAACAGGGTGAAAGCCGGAAGGGTCACAGGGGAGGCACTGTGAGAGCGACATGGAATTATAAGGTTAACACTAAACATTCACTAAAGATCCACTTGTGAGGATGGTTGAGGAGAGCTGGGGACTTGTGTGTAGCTTCACAATTCCCCAAGGCTCTTGCTCGCATCTGACCCCTTTTGCTGTGTGTGTGTGAAGGTCCCTTGCGTGAACAATTGAAGGATAACTTGCTTCATGATTCCCCTAGGCTTTCCCTTACATGTTACTCCTCTGCTGTATATGAGGGGCCGGAAGGGTGCTTGCTACATATGTAAGCATTGCTGTAGTCAGCAATGTAGTATCAAGAACCAGAGACCAGTGCAGGTAACTCAGGACAGACACAGCATGATGATTTGGGGGCAGGGAAGCAGATAACCATGTTAAAGTCTGAAAGGCATGGGGTGACAGATGGATGGGGATGTTACTTGGAATTATCCGTTAGATAACCAGAATGCAGTGTTGGCTACTGTAGATGCTTCTGTTTCCCCTCACTGAAAAGGGCAGAGGAAAATAAACCAGAACCCTCAGGTTGTCATGGGAGACTCTCCAGGGTGTGGACAGGGATTCTTTTCATCTCAAAGCAAGGTATTCCTGGACACCACCATGGATTATAAAAACAACGGTGGAGGGAATGGAACAAGTTCCGATGCTGCTGTCACAGTTCAGAGAAGGGAGGGGGAGGCCAACATGAGGTCTAAAAGGTAAATGACTATAAATCACTGAAGGACAGAGACTAAGTTAGGCCCAGGTTCAGAGCCTAACCTGTAAGAGTAAATGACGAGAGAAGGGAGGAAGGAAGGAGGATAGAATTTGAGACAAAAATAAAAAAACAATATGACACTTGTCAAGCTTCAGGTTAAGCCTGTAAGCTCTTACAACTTAATAAAGCCACCCAAAAAGGAGGCACGCATTTGTGTCATCAGACAGAAAAGCAAGGGTGTGGGTGAGGTTTCTCAAGGACTGGCAGGCAGGCTGAAAGTACCGAGGATATGGAGTATGTTATTGTCATCTATTATAGCTATTTTCATTGTTTTCTGATAGGATCTCATTATGTAGCCCAGGCTAGCCTAGAACTTGTGAGGTCTGTCTCAGCCTCCTGGGTGCTGGGATTACAGGTGTGCATTTGCTGCCATCTTCAAGGAGAATAGGGCCTTGATGAACAATATGGGGTCTAAGTAGGGAAGACTGTGTTGGGGAAACTAAGTCACACAACAATGGGGGACTTTTGTAAGAGGGAAGCCAGGGCAACACCCATCTTCAGGAAGGGCTGAGTTGTAGGTCAATTTGGATGTTGCTGTGATCTGAGCCAGGTACAGACGGAAGACGGTCTGCTTGGTCCAAGGGGGAGGAGGTCCTAGTCACAGGTGGAGAGATGAAGAATTGCAAACCCAGGCCACACAGCAGTTCGTGGACGCATGGCTAAGGCAGGCAGGAAGAGGGATAGAAAAAACTGGAGAATATTCACCCATTATGAGCATGAGTGAGGGCTTGCCTGCGTTGCTGCATTGGTGGGGTTTTGTGGAAAACACTCATCTAGTCCTTTTAGGCTTCATTTTTTATTTTATTGAAATTCAATCTTTTTCATAAAATATATTCTGGTTATGGTTTCCCCTCCTCAACAATTCCCAGTTCCTCCCCACCCCACCCCTCCATCTGGATCTACATCCTTTCTGTCTCTTGTCAGAGAACAAGCAAGTATCTAAGAAATAATAACAAAATAAAATAACAAAACAAGTCAAAATAGGACAAAATAAACAGAAGAATAAAGCTCCCCCACAAAGCACAAGAGAAACACACACAGACGCAGAGATACACACAGCCACACACACAGGAGCCACACACACACACAAAAAAAAACACAAAAAGGAAGCCACACAACATTAGGACACAAAGAACCTGCAGAGGTGCCCTAGAGTTCACTTTGTGCTGGCCATCCTCTGCTGGGCTTGGGGCCTGCCCTTGAGAGAGGTTGGTTTTCCCGGTAAGACTGCGCTGGAGAAAAGCAAATGTTCATTTGCAGATGCCATCAGTTGGAGAAGGCTTCCGAGTCAGGGATCAGGGTGTGTCACTTGTACGCTCAGCTCTAGGACTCCCTCTAGTGCAGCCCCCTGTAGGCCCTGTGCACGCTACCTCGGTCTCTGAGCGCATATGTGCCAGACCTTCTAGACATAGAAGGCCTCGTTTCCTTGGTGTCCGCCATTCCTCTGGCTCTAACCCTCTTTTCACCTCCTCTGCTGCAGGGCTCCCTGATCCCTGAGGGGAGGGATTTGGTGGAGACATCCCTTTCAAGGCTGAGTGTTCCAAGTTCTCTTGTTCTACCCAACACTGGGTCTGTGGGTCCCCGTTCCCATCTGTGTAGGAGGAGGCTCCTCAGGTGACGGCTGAGCTAGGCACTGACCTATGAGTCATTAGAAGTCATTTTAGCAGAGCAGTAGTATTTGGTTTTTCTCTAGGTGCCTGGCCTACCTATCCTCAGGCTCTTGGCCACCCAAGCAAGGCCAGGGTGGATCCCATCTCATGGGCTGGCTTTAAATCAAATCAGGTCTTGGTTGGTCACTTCCACAGACTCGACCCGCTATTGCTCTAGTGTATGTTGTCGGCAGGTCACCACTGTGGGTTGAAGGTTTTGTAGCTTGACTGGGGTTTGCCTCCCCCTTTGGCAGTGTGGAGAATGCCTTCCAGTACGGTGCGTGCTGGTCTGTAGGGGTGAAGGATCTAGGCAGGCACCAGCTCGGCTTCTCCATGTTCAATGAGCAGTGCAGGTGTTGTCTTCGGCAATAAGGCCTTACCATCAGGTTTGGCAATAATAGTTTGGGGTTCCCATGGAGCCCATCTGGCCAACAACTCAATTGGATGTAACCGATTCCCCGTGCTAGTTTTGGTCATGAGACGTCCAGTTGGGGCTCTGTCTCCCCCATTATTTGGCAATGACATTTAGGTTGCCTTCATACATGTCTGTATTTTAGGAAGATTCTATGACCCCTTCAAATGGCCCTCTTCATGTTTTCTGTCTCACCCACCTCCTCCCTCTGTCTTCCCATCTGATTTGTTTATTCCAGTCCCCAACTCTTCCTCTTTAACTACGTATTCTATTTCCCCTGCCTAGAGAGATCCATGCCTCGCCCCTAGTCTCTCACTGTATCCTAACCTCCATGGTTATACAGATTATAGCTTGGTTAGCAATGACTTAACAGCTAACATCCACATATAAGTGAATTCACATCATGCTTGTCTTTCTGGATCTGGTTACCTCACTCAGGATGATTTATTTTTCTAGCTCTCTCCATTTACCTGCAAATTTCATTTTTTAAGATGAGTACTATTTCATTATACAAATTTTCTTTATGGATTCTTCTGTTGGTGAACATATAGGCTATTTCCAATTTCCGGCTACTGTGAACAGAGCAGCAGTGAACACGGCTGAATAAGTGTCTCTGGTAGGATGAGGCAGCCTTTGGGTGTATGTCCAGGAGTGGCATAGCTAGATCTTGAGGTAGATCAATCCCCAGCTTCCAGGGGGGCTGCCACAGTGGTTTTCACTATGGCTGTACAAGTTTTCAGTCTCACCAGCAATGGAAGAGTGTTAGCCTTACTCATACCCTCACCAGCATGAGCTTCCCTTTGCTTTATTGATCTAGACCATTCTAACAGGTAAGATGGAATCTCAAATTAGTTTTGATTTGCATTTCCCTGATGGCTCAGGATGCTGAATATTTTATTAAGTGTTTCTCAGTCCGTTGAGTTTGAGTTTCCTCATTTGAGAACTTTTTGTTTAGACCTGTACTCCATTTTAAATTGGGTTATTTGCTTTCTTGATGTCTAGTTTTTTTTTTTAGTTCTTTACATATTTTATAAATTAGCCCTCTATCAGATGTGGAGTTGCTAAAAATCTTTTCCCATTCTATGGGCTGCCGCTTTGTCCAGTTGATAGTGTCCTGTGCCTTACACAAGTTTTCAGTTTCATGAGGTCACGTTTATTAATTGTTGATCTTAGTGCCTGCACTATCAGTGTTCTGTTCAGGAAGTTGTCGCCTGTGCCAATGCATTCAAGACTATTCCCTACATTCTCGTCTGTCAAGTTCAGAGCATCTAGTTTTATGTTGAAATCTTGGATCCACTCGGAGTTGAGTTTTGTGCTATCTGATAAATATGGATTTATTTGCCTTCTTCTATGGGCAACCATCCAGTTTGATCAGCACCATTTGTTGAAGATGCTGACTTTTCCCCAGTGGGTATTTTTGGCTTATTTATTTAAAAAAAATGTGTAAATAGGTATGTGGTTTTTTGTCTGGGTATTCAATTCAATTCAATCAGCTTGTCCTTTATGTAAAAATACTATGCCGTGTTTTGCTTTTGTTTCGTTTTTTAACTATAGCTTCGTAGTACAACTTGGAATTGAGAATAGTGATTGATTCTATCTCCTGTGGTTCTTTCATTTTCGGGATTGTTTTAGCTATCCTGTGTCTTTTGTGTTTTCATATGAAGCTGAAAACCGTCCTTTCAAGATCAGTGAAGAATTGTGTTAGGATTTTAATGAGAATTGTGTTAAATCTGTATTGCTTTTGCTAGAATGGCCATTTTTGCTATATTGATCCCACTGATCCATGAGCATTGGAGATTTTTCTACCTTCTGATACCCACTTCAATTCTATTCCTTTGGTCAATGTGTCTGTTTCCAGCCCAAAGTGTGCTGTTTTTTATTGCTAAAGTTCTGTAGTACAATTTGAGATCAGGAATGGTGGGTGATAACATCCTGATGCGTTTGGGGTTCCGTTGTTGCTGTTCTGTTTTTTTATCATTCAAGATTGTTTTAGCTATCCTGAGTTTTTTGTGTTTCCATATGAAACCAAAATTTTTCCTTTCAACATTTGTGAGGAATTGTGTTGGAATTTTGATGAGGACTTCATTGAATCTGTAGCAATGCTTCTTTAGTTTCTATTTTGTGGAATAATTTGAGGGGCCTTGGCATTAGTTATTCTTGAAAAGACTGGTAGAATTCTGTGCTAAAACCACCTGGCTCTGGAATGGTTTTCGTTGGGAGACAGTTAATTACTACTTCTATTTCTCTAGGAGTTACAGGTCTGTTTAAATTGCTTATTTGATCTTGATTCAACTTTGGTAGGTAAACATATTAAGAAAATTATCAATTCCTTTTAGTTTTTCCTTTTAGTTTATAAAGTATAAGTCCCCATGATTCTCTGGATTTCCTTGGTATCTGTTGTTATGTCTCCATTTTCTTCTCTAATTTGTCCATTTTGATCTTGTCTCTTTACCTTTTAGTTGGTTTGGATAAGGGCTTGTTAATCTTGTTGATTTTCTCACAGAACCAACTCTTTGTTTCATTGACTCTTTGTATTGTTCTCTTTGTTTCTATTTTTTTTATTTCAGCCCTGAGTTTGATTGTTTCTTACTGTCTACTCCTTTTGGGTGTGATTACTTCTTTTTGTTCCAGAGCTTTCTGGTGTGCTATTAAGTTATTCATATGAGATTGTTCCATTTTTTTATGCAGGCCCTCAGTGCTGTCTATGAACTTGCCTCTTAGAACTTCTGCATTGCTACATAAGTTTGAGTGTGTTATATGTTCATTTTCATTTAATTCTAGAAAGGCTTTACTTTTTCTTTTTAAATTTCTGTCTCAATCCATTTTTCATTCAGTAATGAGTTAATAAGTACCCACGAGATTGTAAGCCTCCTGCAGTTTTTGTTGCGTTGCTGATGATATTCAGCTTTAACCCACAGTGGTCAGAGGTTTTCAGAGTGTTATTTCAGTTTTCACATATCTGTTGAGACTTGCTTTGAGTCATCTTTGGAGAAAGTTCCATGAGGTGCTGGCCACCTTCCCTGGCTTTTCCCGTGGTTATCCGTGTGCACAGGCTTTTCCCCCTCTACACCCCTGGTTCTCGTGTGATTACTGTGTAACAGCTGGTTAATTGTCTTAAAACATATTTGAATGAAGATATCCATTCAGCTATAGTTTGATTCAAATAATCCTAGCCCTTGGCTGCCTGAGGCAAGAGGATCAGAAGTTTCAAGCTGGCATGGGCTTATGGTCTCTATATTGAGACCCTGCCTAAAACAACTAAACAGTTCTATGTGTGTACACGCGCGCGTGTGTGTGCACGTGCGTGTCTGTGTGTGTGTGTGTGTGTGTTAGGATGAAAGTCTAACAGAACAAATCTTAACAGGCAGATGTGTCTACAAGGCCATGCAGGGCGCCCCTTGCCACAGCCTGAGATGGCCCTGCATCTCTCCTTAGTTGAGGAGCCCCTGGCGGCTCTCTCCTCCTCAACGAGAGTCACTTAGTTTCCTTTGTGACAACGCGTGTCACTCCCACAGCTCCTCACGTGTGTGTCACTTGGGCCTCAACTAGATCTTGGAGCTGGCCCTGTCTGCGCTGACCTTCATTCCCAGTCCCCAGAGCTCCGCAGGGGGATTTTGATAGACCTGGACCAGGAGAGGGCGGGAAGCACAGAGGCTTACTTCTGAAGGATCTCCATCCCACACATGCCAACACAATGCTCTCCTGATTTCAGGAAGCAGGAGAGGGACTCAAAGCGCTGGAGGACGGAGGGAAGGGCCGCACTGCAGGAGGTAAGGTGTGCGTGTGAGCAACCCCTGTGAACGTGTGGATATTAGTTACCCAGGATACTTTGCAGGTAAAGTGGTATCTGCCACCTACAACACATTCTGAATTCTAGGATAGGATCAGCCAATAGCACCAAGTCCTGTGTCTCATTTCCAAAATGCCTCAGGGGCATCGAACTGCCTGATTGGGCCCACAGTCTCCCGACAGTAGTTATCTGAAGTCAAAAGTAAGCAGTGTAGTGAGCTAGTCAACACCACTTGGAGGTTTCATTGCCACACACAAAAGTAACCGTGCTAAGATTCACAAAACGGGTGAACCTGTCTCCTCCTCCTCAGCATGATTTCACAGGGTTGGCACGCTGGCCTCAACTGTCCAGGCCAGGTCTGTCTCTGATTCTGTGATCTCAGTACAGCACTTAACCTTTTGCTTTCTCTTTTGAAAACTGGAAAGGCTGACTGAAAAAAAAATAACTATCTTAGGCTGAGGACATGGCACAGTTGATAGGGTACTTGCTTAGCAAGCATGAGACCTCGCGTTTGATGGCCCAACGTCACATCAAATAGGCCTGAGGCTCGCACCTCTCTACTGGTGGCACCCCAGAAGCAGAGGCAGGAAGGTCAGAAACTCAGGGTCAACCTTAGGTGTATAGTGTGCTCACAGTCAACCTGGGATCCCTGCGACCCTGTCTTCAACTCCCCCCAAACAAAAAACAAACAGATCTTACTGAAATAATACCACAGTCATAATCACAGCATTAAGCTCTGTTATCTGCATATTTTCAGCCCTCCAAATGCAAGTCAAGGCAGGTGAACACTGGTTCCGTAGCCTCAGAAAAACAGTGCAACTATTTGCCACCGAGGGTTTGCTATGACATCCTCCTGAGACTCAATACTTACATAAAATCACATCCTATCATGCAGATGGTTTGACAAGGTCCTGACTTGGTCACATCACAGAGCTTCAGACTGAGTACTGTCAAATTTAAAGCCAATGTCGTATGTGTTGCAAAGCTATCACTGAGAAAACTGTCATGACATTGTCCTGGAATGGCGAGGTTGTTGCTATGTTTATTAAGTTGTTGCTACGTTTATCAACGTTCTTTCGTTAGTTGCTTTTCTTGGGGCTATAGAAAAATACCTGACAAAAAGCCAGTTATAGGAGGGACAGTTTGTACCTTGACTGATGCACAAGGCATAGCAACGGCGACGGCATGACGTGGCCGGTCCTCTACATCCACAGCCAGGAAGCAGAGGGTAATGCCGGCACTCAGCCCACTTTCTGTTCATCTGAGACTCCAGCCCACGGATGCTGCTGCCACAATTCGAGGTGGCACCATAGGTCATCTGACCTGATCTAGGAGCTCCCTCACAGAGGTGCCTGGAGTTCTGCTTCTGTAATGACTCTGGATCCCATCAAGAACACTGTTGTTATCATCAGTGTTGCTACTCTGACCGCCATAGCTGCTGGGCTTTCACAGTCTTGACCCAGCGCTGAACCAGCACAGCAGAGGCTCATTGACAGTGAAATGCCAAGAGCACGGCAGGGTCCTCTGACTCAGGGCCATCTTTAGTTTCCATGCACCACTGACACGCTGAGGTACAAGTCCCTGTGCTCCTTAGTGGATTCTCCTACTGTGTGACAAGTGCCTTAGCTGCCTGCCAACTCAGACATTTGAAAGAAACACTGTTGTTCTGTTGTTAAAGTGAGGCTAGGACATAACAGTGTTGGATGGAAATGGGCTTTGGGACATTGTTTTTACTCAGATACTTTGTCTTTCCACAGAGACTGAGGTCTCAGAACCTCCCAAAGCGCCTGTGAAGCTAGTTAACTTTCAGCAGAGTGAGAAGTAAGTCTCCCTCACACGGGTTTGGTGTCTTTCTCTTTCTCTTGGGTCAGATGTGAGTAAGTTCTTTGTCTCCTCTGCAGCACCTCGGCTAGTGAGAAGGAGGTAGAGGTGAGTCTTCCTGCCCCTCGCTGCCTCCCCTCTCCCTCCCTCCTTTCTTCTCTCCCCTCCCCTTCCTCTCCCCTCTCCCTCTTTTCTTTCCCTCCCTTTCTGCCACTCTCCACCCCCTCTCTCTTATTTTGCTATGCTTGGGTTTTGCACAAGCCGGTTACAAGGCTAAGTGCGGGCAAAGCCTCAGTGTTCCAGCCTAGGGTTCCAAGAGGAGAAGGATTCTCACACACACACACACACACACACACACACACACACACACACACGCGCGCGCGCGCACGCACGCACGCACACGGGCACACACACGCACACACACACGCACGCACGCACGCGCACGCACACACACAGACACACACACGCACGCATGCACACACGCACGCACACACACAGACACACGCACAGACACACACGCACGCACACACACACGCACACACACACGTTGCTTCCCCCCTGCACGCCATGGGACTCCTCTAACTTCTCTCCAATCCTGACACTGTTGTGGCCACAGGCAGAATTCCTCAGGTTATCTTTGGGACTGAAGTGTGACTGGTTTACTCTGGAGAAGAGAGTGAGGCTTGAGGAGAGGTCCCGGGACCTGGCAGAGGAAAACCTGAAGAAAGAAATCACCAACTGTTTAAAGCTTTTGGAGGTGAGAGAAAGCTTGGGGACTGGCAGTCACATGCGTACCCCCTGCCTCTCCTTCCCCACCCCCTCCCTCCCTCTCCCTTCCCACTCCTCCCCCTCCCTCTCCCTTTCCCACCCCTCCCTCTCCCTTCCCCACCCCCTCCCTTCTCCCTGATTTTTGCTTTTGAGACAGACTCCTGCTGTGTAGGTATATGGTCCTGGCTGGACTGACACTCAGTGTTCACACCGGGTTGACTTGAACTCACAGCTTTCTCCTCCCTCTACCTCTCAGGAGCTAGGACCACAGCTGCGAGTCACATTAGTTACTGCCTTTTTCTTTTTTGGCATATATACACTTTCCCCAACGCTACTTCTGGAAGGCACATCCCTTCTCCATTGTGCATTTTTAGTTCCCTTCTCAAAGATCACTTGATCACAGGCATAAGAGTTGTTTTCTTGGCCTTCTGATGCGCTCTGGAAGTCTATGTGTTTGCTCCAGTACCATCCCACTTGGATTACTGAAGGTGTGCAGTATGTTCTTTAAAAATTATTTTGCTATGCTTGTTTATTTTCTGTGTGGGGCACACGCCACGGAGCACACATGGCGGTAGAGGGCGGTTATTCGTGTTTGTCGGGGGAGCATGCCATGGCACCCATGCGGGTCCTGGTGTTTGACCTCACGTCATTCATGCTGGCAGCGTGGGTCCTCCTCGCTGAGCCCTCTCACGGCCGTGTGCTGTGTCTTACAATCAGGAAGCATGGCCCCTATGATTTTGTCTTTCACTAAGTTGATTTAGCTGTTCCCTGCTCCTCAATAGACTCCATTTATTTTATGGTAGTTTTTTTATACCAGGCTTTTTCTCTTGGGCCACCAGCCAGCTCCCAAACCATGACAGGGAGACTTAATATTGGTTACAGATGCTCAGCCCTAAAGTATGCCCGTTTCTTGCTAGCTCTTATAATCTAACCTGTTTCTCTTCATCTACTTTTGGCCTCAGGACTTTTAACCTTTCCTTTCTGTAAGTCCCACCTTTGCTGTTTCTTCTGTGTCTGTCTGTCTGGCCCCGGGCATCGCTCTCTCTCTATCTTTCCCTCATTCTCTTTGTTCCTCCTTCTCTCCTATCTCTTCTCTCTGCCTGCCGGTCCTGCCTATCCCTCTTCTGCCTAGCTATTCGCCGTTCAGTTTTTTATTAGATCAGTCAGGTGCCCTAGGCAGGCCTGATAAAACAGCAGCGCAGCTTTACATAGTTAAACAATGTAACATACCTTCACATCCTTATAGTAATATTCAGCAACATAAACAAATGTAACACATCTTTTCATAGTTACATATTCCAGTTTTCTCTTTTTTACTCTTTCTGGTGGGAGGGGTCAAAATCAGCGTGTGACTAATGTGAAGCACATGTTCTGCCAGTGCCCCCAAGAACCCACACTTTTCTATTTCTGCTTGCCCCCAGGGGATGTTGTTGTTATTTTGATAATAATTTGCCACAAAATCTGTAGATTGCTTGGGTCATCAGGTCTATCAACCCATGAATGCAGAATGTCTTTCCATTTGTGTCTTTGTTTTACAGATTTCAAAGCATAAGTCTTCTACCTCTTTGCTTTGGTTTATTTCTGAATATTATATTCTTTGTGATACAATTTTAAATAAATTGGTTTTTTTAGTTTATTATTTTAAAAAGTGTCAGCACACAGACACACAACTGATTCTTGTGTTACTTTTGAGTATTGTAATTTTGCTGTGTTTATTAGCTTGAAAGTTTTGTTCTGCCTTTAGGGTATACTGCAGATAAAAAAAATCACACTGTGAACAGAAATATTTTTTTTAACCTCTTAGTTTATACTTGGAATTCTTTTAATTTTTTTTTTTGCCGAATTGCTTTGGCTATGAAACCAATGTCATAATATGTTACATAGAAGTGAGGGTGTGGGTCCTTGGCTTGTTCTAGTCATAGAGGGAGGGGTCATCTTCTGCCATTTACTCTTGACATCCACTGTGGGTTTCTGACCCATGACTTCTGTTATGTTGAAGTAATTTCCTCCTATTCCTGTAGTGCTTTAAAAATGTTTTTAATAATCACAGACTCGTCTTTCCAGATGCTTTCTGATTCTTTTGCTATAATTGTGTGGTTTTTGTCTTTTCTACCAATGTGGTATATTATCTCAAAGGAGTCTCACATGTTGAAATAACCTTGTATCCTAGCAATAAATTCCACCTGGTCATGATGTACTGGATTCAGTATTTCCCTGAAGACTTAGCATTAGAATTCCTCAGGGTTACTTATCAATCTGTTCTTGCAACATCTGTACAACCTTAGTATTGAGGTAATGAATTCTCATAGAATGGCCTTAGACATAATCTATCTCATTGAGTGTTTAAGAAGGATTTTAAAGGTGTTGGTGTGAGTTTTTCTTTAGTGTTTGGTAGAATTCCTTAGGGAAGTCATTTGTTCCAAGCTTTTCTTTGTTGAAAGGCTTCTATCACTCATTAAGTTTTGTCAAGTTACTTCTTCATGTTTCTTCTGTAGTTAGCAACGTTCTTCTTTGCTTATAACTCAATTCTGTTCTTCCCTTCTCAACTGGTTATTGGATCCACTGTAGGAAACTGTACATCTGACAAAGGCTGTTTCTATCAGCCAACAATCCCTTTAGCTGCAGCTTAGACGTATCTGTGCATTTCAAATATGGCTGCCATTCACTGCGCCTGTGTGATAACAAGGATTGGCAGCTGCTACCTGTCACGTGGTAGTATTATTTAAAAGGGCATAAATAGCAAACCGGAAAGGCCAAAGCGTTGTGTTTTTCAGGATTATTAAGCAGTCTATCATCTGTGGTGCCTGATGGTATGACTGATAGAACTTCTTCCAAATGATAGCCACCCAACATGATGGTGCCTCTCCCAGAGTTCATGGCGGTTTAGATTTGCACAGCCTTAGACATTCGCTTAGTCACAACAGGCTGTGAGAAGTCGCTTGTTTGCTCTCAAGACTGTTCCTCATTCCTGCGGGAAGGATGGCCTTGAAGGACATACATCGAGGTAAAGGGCATGAGTTCGGGTGAGGAATAATAACTTATTCACCCACCTGACCACACCTAGTCATGAGAGAAGATGCTGGTATCCGTTATTTATTGCGACTAAATGCCCGACAAAAGCAATTCAGGGAACAAAGAATTTATTAGGGTGCAAAGTTTAAGTTCATAGTTCATCAAGGCCAGAAGGCACAGTGACGGGTACAGCCCGAGTCACAATGCCAGGGGCATGAGGCAGCTGGTCAGGTGTGATCCAGCCAAGACGTAGACAAAGATGAACACCCCTGCTCAATTGGTGTCTTAAGTTACTATTTTGCTGCTGTGCTAAAGGTAATTTATAAAATTTACTGTGGCTTACTGTTTCAGGGGAGTGAGTCCCTGACCATCACTGCAGGGAGCATGGCAGCCGGCAGGCAGGCATGGTGCTGAGACAGTGGCTGAGGTCTCACATCTCATCCCCAAGGACAAAGCAGAGAGAGTTACCTGGGAATGTGTGAGCTTTTGAAACCTCAAAGCTCTCCCTCAGTGGCACGCTTCCTCCAGCAAGGCCACACCTCCTAATCCTTCCTACACAGTTCTACCATCTAAGGACCAAGTATTCAAATGTATGAGCCCTGCCCCCAGGAGGGGGCATTTTTATCCAGACCACCACAGCTGGCTCCTCCTCTTCCTCCTTTCATCCAGCCAGGAACCGCAGGCATTAGGATAACCCCCCCCCACCATGCTTCCATGCTCAGGGGTTGTCTTCCTCCTCTCTGGAAGCACTATCACAGGCACACCCAGTGGGTGTGTCTCCTGGGTGTTTCTAAAATCGATCTCAAACCAGTCCAAGTTATTGTGATTCTCCTCTCAAAATGCCAGTTTGTCCTCATGTGACCGGCACAATCCGCTTAGGGGCATTGTCTGTTTATCTGCTCCTGTCTTGAGAACCGTGGAGGGAAGCCATGAGCGAACACGGGGTGACACAACAAGAAGCGAGAGACTAGGCATTGTGCTCCTGGGACCTGACACAGCATTCTTAGCCCTCCACTGAGGGCTTTGGCGGCACGTTTTGCCCTCTGTCAGGATGCTTAGACCCACGAGCGGGTTAACGGTGTAAAGAGCACTGTTGGGTGTGTTTTAATGCTCGGCTTTTCTTGCAGTCCTTAGCACCTCTGTGCGAAGATGACAACCAGGCTCAGGAGATCATTAAGAAGCTGGAGAAGAGTATAACGTTTCTCAGCCAGTGCACGACACGCGTGGCCAGCAGGGCAGAGATGCTGGGGGCCATCAACCAGGTAACCGTGATGCTGAGAGGATTTGCGCTCCCACAGAGTGTGAGCTCATTCCTGAGAGCGCATTTCCAGAACACATCTGTGCACCCAGGGGGTTGTGTAAGCCTTTAAAACCGAGCACTTGGGATGCAGAGGCAGGTGGGTCCGCGTGAGTTCAAACCCAGCCTGGTTTACACCGAGTTTCAGGTCAGCCAGCGACGCACAGTGAGAGAGACAGGAACAGAGCAGAGATGGGGCGCGCCTGACTGACTCAGGGAGACGCAGGACTTTAGAGTCCCTGTTGTGGGTTTTGGGGAAGTATATCCAGAGGGCGAGATGTAAGCCCCTTTCTCTCCTAAATCACAGTCGGCCTGGTTTCCTTTTTAGGATATTTCTTTCATTCTCTTCTTGAAAAACCCTTGAAGGGTTTTTTTGTTTTTGTTTTTGTTTTTTTTTTTTTGTTTTTTTGTTTTTGCTCCCATGGAGAGAGTCAAAACCACAATACAAATGATACACTAATGAACCAGGAAACTCCGAGGACACAAACCTGCATTAGTGCACATGGGTGGTGGTTGGGAAAGGGCCCTGGGTGGCTGAGTCACTGACACAGCAGGAACAACCTAACCACAGCTTCAAGAATGTCTGACCAGCAAGGGGGGCACCTTTCCCTCTGGAGACGCAGTACTGACTGTAGCTTAGTACTCCATCCATCCGTAGTCCCGTCCCCCCTTCCCCCCCTCACTATCTGCTCTCGCCTGCATGTTATTCACAGAGCCATAGGGTTTCAAATTTTCATCATGAACAGTTCCATGAGACTTCTGAAAATCCACACTAGACAGACGGGCTAAAGCATTTCCTTAGGAAGACATTTAATGGTTTGGAGGCTTTAGTCTGATGTTTGTTATGAAGTCTAGCTTTTTTAGCCCCTCGGTGGGGTACTGTCGATCTTTACTTGGATTGGTTACGTGTGCACAGGGCTTTAAACCCCCAGTCTCTCTGTCGGCTGCCTACCCCTTTCTGCCATTAGTTTTGTGTCTGCACCCATGTTTCTCCGTTCACACCTCCGGGCCACTTAGTGACCTGTTTGAAGCATCCCTGGCTTTCTGGCTGTGGTGATGAACATGTGATATTTTTGTCAGTCTCTGCCTCCTCACACCCTTCTCCTGTCCCGTAGTTTCTCATCTTCTTTCTTGGCCAAACTTTCTGCTCTCCACCAGCTGTGTCAGAGCAGAGGACAGTCACCCGTGCTGACTGAGCTCCTCACGGAATCCCGTGCTTCATGTGGGACCAGGAGCTTCCTGTCCCTTCTCATTCAGCTTCACGGCTTGTCCTGAAGCCACCACCACGTCTTTTGTTGTGTCAAATGGTGACTTTGTCTCTGAGAAAGCTGACGCAGACGGAGGGAGCTGCCCCAGCCTTGAACCTACCGCCAGAATCCACATACGCTGCCCTCCTCCCCACAGCTGTAGACAGTCACTCTCCTGCACTGTCTGAGGGCGGCCATCTCGCCTGAAAACAAGATCCATCCTTTCCCAAATTTCCCAGAAACGTGAGCCTAAATTCTGCCAGCTGGAAAGCCCCTTCTTCAGTTCTCCCTGGTCTATGGAACCGTTCCCAACAGAGCAGGTGCACACTATTTTTAAGATGGAGGGGCAGAGTGATGTGCCCAAATTCTGAGCCCCCAAATCACCAAGAGTCCCATTGTGATGCAAGAGCGAAGAGTCTTTTGTTGTTGTCTAATGAGTTAACTGTATTAACTCTGGCCCTTTGTCCTTTCATCATGGTGGGTGGAGTAGGAAGGACCTGGGGAACCAGGAGGTGGGGAATTTATTTGGAGGGTAAGGGGCGTGTCTAAGGGTACACAACAGGATTGGTGCGCTTCTGGGTTTGGGCAACCTGTCCTGTGTTGATTGGTTAACTGGTTGCTATGGCCCATAGGCCCTCCCAGGGTGGTTGCTATTCTCTGCCAGTCACTGCTATGCCACTTTTCCTGAAAAGCACTGTAAAGCACTCCCAAAGCCCGCCTGCTGACTTCTGATTGGTTCCTTGCCATGTGGAGGGTATCTGACCTAGGGCAGCTCCTGCAAGGTCAGAAGGCCGGAAACTAAGCACCAGTGCTGAGCCAGAGGCCTTTGTCTTACTGGGTCTTTTCTGCAGCCTGTCATGGCTGCTAAAGCAGGGGGCTGGGTGAGGGTCTGGTCCCTTCACAGAGGTGGTATAAATCTACCTCTTCACTGAAAAAGAATGGATATGAACAGTAGAAACGGGGCTGAGTGGCCCCATGCATTTCCCAGCGCCTGGGAACAGATGACTGTATGCTAGCCTGAACTACTTGGTGAGAGACACTGCCTTCAGAATCAAGATCCCTTTCTTGCTTTCCAACCCCACCCCAAGCCCGTGCTTTCTTTGGCTACCATCTTGCTTTTTCTGTTTCTTTGTTCTAGATCAAGTTTATCAAGGAACTGAATCTCATGTCCAGTCTCTGTGCTCTAGCTTTTCTCTTAAACCTCGTGAGCCCTATGCCTCTGCTGTCATCACTCCGTCTACAGCCCACCCACCCACACACTGCAACGTTAGCCCTGCCTCTGGAGGACTCCGCCTTCCCAGACCACACCCCCTGGCCTTTCCATTCCACCCAGGCTGTTGAATGGCCCTGCCCCCTTCTCTCAGACCTCCTAGAGCTGAAGATCTGAAGGTCCCCTCTCACCATCTGTACTCCAGCAACGCGCTCACAAAACCCAAGGTGACTCCCAGACGATGAGCTTCACCGCACCCTCTGTCTGGCGGTCCTGATGGGACCTGTCATTACTTCCCAGATGCCTGGTACATCCTGCATGCAGCATCCTCAAAGCCAGGGACCCTCTGAACCCTTCCCCCACCTATTGCCTCTCTTCCACCCTCAGTCCTAGTGGCACAGGCCAGAGCTCGGGGTGGGGGCGCTCTCAACACTCCTGTCTCCTTCTGCATCGAGTAAAGAGGCATCATTGTTCTACCGCCAGACCAACAAGAGAATATAGCCATGGTTCCTGTTGGCACATCTACCAACTGCACCTGAGTCACCCCCGCCCCCCACCGTACTAACACAATGGCTTCCAAGATGACCCTGCTTATGTCAAATCCTAATCCTTCCTAAACTTCCCTCTTTGACAAGCAGCTTGTGAGTGTGTGTACCTGTGTGGGTTCCTGGGGGGGGGGGTGCCTGCTTGCTGCAGTGCCAGTGTGGAGGTCAGAGGGCAACTTTGGAAGAGCTGGCTTTCTCCTCAGTGCTGGTTGAAGGGATGGGACTCAGGCCTTCAGGCTGCAGCACACAAATGCTTTTACTCGCCAAGCCTCCTCGCCAGCCAGCCCTGAATGTCTGCCTTAAGGGAGCGGTGAGGGCGGTGTTGCTGATGGAAGCTGGCTCTTGTAGGAGAGCCGCGTGAGTAAAGCTGTGGAGGTGATGATTCAGCACGTGGAGAACTTGAAGAGGATGTACGCCAAAGAGCACGCTGAGCTGGAGGAGCTGAAGCAGGCTCTGCTGCAGAACGAGAGGTCTTTCAGCCCCCTGGAAGATGAAGGTAAGGGTGACCTGCTGCATAGTGGTTAAGAGCGCATGCTACTCAAACTTGGTTCCAGCAGGCATGTCCCTTGGCTTATGACAGCCTGCAACTCCAGCTCTGGGGGATCTGATGCCCTCTACTGGCCTCCATGGGCACCTGCACCCACATGCACACACACACACACACACACACACACAACACGCACACACGCACAGTTTTTTTAGTTTTGTTTTGGTTTGTTTGCTTGTTTGTTTTGTGATAGGATCTCTATATAGCTCTGGCTGTCCTTGAATTCCCTATGTGGACGCAGGCTGGCCTCAAACTTAGCCATCCACCTGCCTCTGTCTCCCACGTACTGGGGTTAAAGGTGTGGCCACCATGCCTGGCTTACATAGTCTCTTTGGAAAGACAATAGTTATGCTCCCCTGACAGTGTCCTCTTCTTGCTCCTTCCTGCCTTGCTGCATCATGGAATAAGAACCTTATGTAAAGGTCATGTTAGAAAAATGTCTCATTCTTGGGTTTTATATAAAATATCAGTCTTGATCGCAGAAACAAGGTACTTACTTAGCAGAACACATTAAGTAGATGCTAGTCCAGCCAGGGTGTTATAGCTGGCTCTCCCTCCACACACGATAATGTGTAACACACGAACCAGCCATCATTTGGTATTCTTGAAGGATCCTAGCACAGTAAGCTGTCTGACAAATTGAAGACAGATGAGAGCATGTGGTTTCTAGAAATCTCAGTTTAAGGTTTATTTCTTTTTTTTTAATGGGCATCAATGCTTGTATGTACAAGCACGCAGTGCCCACAGAGGCCAGAAGAGAGCACTTGATCTTCTGGAACTGGACTTTAAGATGGTTGTGAGCTGTCACGTGGGAGCTGGGACCTAGACTAGCATCCTTTGCCTAACCACTGGGCCACCTCTCCAGCCCACAATGGTTTTGAGTAAACAGTAGGAGCTTTTCTGAACAGAGTTCTTACTTCAGCAACGTTCCCTCTTTTGAACAGCAGCAGTAGTTGACATTTTACTGCATGCTAGCAGGCACTGGGGACAACTGCAGAAGCATTAAGGCCTGCGTCATAGTGGTTTATACGGGGATTGTTGGGACTGGAGACAGAGCTCAGTGGTCGAGTGCTTGCCAAACATGAAAAAGTCCCTGAGCTCAAGCCTCAGTACCACAAAAATAGAATAAAACAAACATATTTATCTTGCTCAATGGTTCCTAGAGTCTTTTGTTTTTAGTTTCTTGAGGCAGCGTCATGCTGTAACCAAGGCTGACCTTGAACTCATGACGATCCTCCTGTCTTGGTCTCTTCCAGAGTCTTTGGTAAACCTTTTTTGATCTTCACTTGACAGAAATGCACGTGTGGTTTTTAGAATGTAAACACGTGGCCAGAGAGATGGCTCAGTGGTTAAGCTGCTCTCCCAGAGTCCCAGTGCCCACCCGGTGGCTCACAACTGTCCAACTCCAGTGCCAGGGGATCCGATGTGGTGCAGACATACATGCAGGGAAAACACACACATAACAGAATTCTGTTTTCCTTTCAGACGACTGTCAGATTAAAAAGCGTTCGTCTTCTCTAAATTCCAAGGTAAGTACTGATTTCATCATTGACAACTGTTGACAAAATGCTCATGAACTGTTAAGATAGTATTTGAAGTTACATGCCTTTTACTGACAATCACAAAACAGATTAAAATTCTCCTGCGTGAATGTACACGTGTGTGTATCTGTTTATACAGTTTAGGAGGCGCACCGTCCTAGCTCCTGTTGTCAAAATGGCCCAGCAGCACGCGGAAAGCCAGTGTAGCCATCTTTTGTCTCACTGTTTAAACCAAAGCTGGGTACAGGCAGGCAGATTCTCAAGATCCCTACAGACACATTCACCCTCCCCCCACCCTGACTCCTCCCTGAGGTCTAACAACTCTACTTCAGAGCCTGGCTGCATCCTTACTGCAAAGTCTAGTCACAAAGCGGGAGAGAAGGCCGGGTGGCTGCCCTGTGCAGAGCAGCCCTGGGAGTCTCCCACAACACCCCCACTTTTGTTTTGGCTGGGAAGAGAGATGGGGACAGACAGCCTGCTTCCTGGGTGTCCCCAGGCCTGTCCGAAGAACCACAGTCCTGTTGCTGAGCGAGAAAGCGGGGTGAAGGTAGCAAAAGCCCACAGGATGGGGCCGTAGTCGGGAGGTCCCTGCAGACGCACACAAGAAGGTGTCCCTCACTAGCGCTCCCCCTAGTTTAATACAGTTGATAATGGGGTTAACCATGATAATTCTTCCAATTTGTTTACTTTTTATTCCTGAGCGGTATTTATCTATGCTACACAATGCTATATAATATTCCCCTATGCAAATCTCGGGCCAATAAACCCATTTATTTGTTAAAATATACCATCTCACTTATGATGGAGTCTAAAAGGTTAACCTCCCCGAGCAATGCTGAGAGTTCATAGACTTGCTACCCCAGCTGAGGTAGAGTCTGGGGTAAGTGGCAAGCCTGGGCCTCTTGCCTGGTGGATGACTAGGAGTAACAGCGGCATTGGGAAATGCTTCAGAAGTTTCGGGAAACTTACTGTCCCATCACATCTGAGGAGAAGGAGATGTTTAACCCGATGTAGGCATCACACCGCATGAACATGTATGTAATAGAGCCGCTAATTCCCCACTAGTATGTAAGGTTTTTTGTTACTAGTTAAAACGAAGTTAACCAAAGTCCCATGGACTTTAAAAGTATTGTTGGAAAACTGCAGGAGACGCTGCAAGTGTGGTGAACCCTGACTTCCTCGTGGGCTCGGGTTTTCTGAGCACGGAAGTGAAGGCGACAAGAGAGAAGAAAAAATGCATTTGGCTAATTTCAATGCAGTCCGTCTTCTAGAAAAATACAGGGGTGATGGACAAGAGTATAGGCATGCTTCTCAGAGAAAATATGCAAATCACAATTCAACAGCACAGGTGTCAGGGATAAGCAGAAGACAGACAAATGAAAACCCAGAGGAGAAACATGATTCTTAAGCTAGCGAAAGTTGTAAATCTGAGGTTGGGGGAGACGGAATATAAAGTGGTAAATACTCCCGGAAGGTGATTTTTTTTCTATGCAAGGTCCTCGAATGCTCGCCTGCTGCCTGACAGCCGAGCATGGCCGTGAGCAGCATGGCGGAGGATGAAATCCCCACAGTTCTCTAATTGTACTGTCTCCCCTGTGTAGCCATCGTCTCTTCGAAGAGTGACGATTGCCTCTTTGCCCAGAAATCTCGGGAATATGGGGACGGTAAGCGCACTTGGAGGTCTCTGCCTCAGGAGTGAACTTGTCTGTCTCTGTGGTAAAATGCAATTCCCTCACTGAACTCCTATTTCACGATTTCTCGATCCTCCAAAGGTGTATGGCATAGACAGTAATGACAGATTCAGCCGGCGGTCGAGCAGCTGGTAAGTGTGGCTTGTGCCCATACTCTGGGAACCCGTGGCAAGCTGAGAGTTGGTCTTGAGCTCATCAACATGTAGGATTTGATTTGCTCAGAGTGCGAGCAGACCAAACGCTGTAACTGGCATTCGGGTGTGGCGGCTGCACTGGGAAATGAGAGTTACCTGGGTGTGAAGGGAAACAAGGAGCCAGTGCTTCCTGCGTTGACTTAAGTGGTGAGGGGACACCCGGTGCCGGGCACAGCTTCGTCTCACGTACGGCCGTTGTCTTTGTGCAGGAGAGTTCTGGGGACGAAGCAGAGTGAGCAGCGCCCCTCGCTGCACCGGTTTATTAGCACCTACTCCTGGGCAGACGCTGACGGCGAGAAGTGTGACGTGAAGTAGGTCCCTCGCGGTGTCCTCGCGGTGTCCCTGTTAACCTGATGTGAGCTGCAGCATGCAGAGGGGAGGTCGGAAGGAAAAACAGGCCATGAACTGCTTTATAAATGTCGTTTGGGAACACCGTGGTCCCTCTGGTCCTCAGCGTGGCAACCTTTTAAGCTAGATAACTCCCTGGGATTTCCGAGATCCAGGCATGCCCACCGCCAGAGCCGCAAAAGTAAAGTCCGCATCATCGTAGAGTACGAAAAGCAGACATGAAAACAGGACATGTTTGAATAGGCAACATCTGCCCTTTGTGGCGTGTGTAGTCATCCGACGTACACAAAGCGGTCTTGGCATCCTCTGCTCAGCAGCATTTGTCTTTCTGACAAGCAGGGGCTGCTGTGTATCCAGAGCTGGCCTCAAACAAACAGCCATCCTCCTGCCTCAGCCTCCTGAGTGTTGGGAGTGCAGGTGTCACCACCACGTCTAGAATATGTTTAGCAAATTTAATGAGTGAAACTATGCTCTGTGCCCCCATGGTGAAGGCAGAGGGCAAAAGGTGAGGTGTGGCACGGGGCTGCCGCCCCCGGCTCCGCCTCACTTGGACTCTTCTGTCACCTGTTAAAGCGTCCTTCTCAGGCCACTCGTTTAAGCACATTCGCTGAGCGCCTCCAGCAGACTTGCTAGGTCACAGGCATCTCCCACATCCCGGGATCGGATCCCGCGGCACGTGCTCCCCATGTATTTATGTGATGGGTCCGAGCTACATGGGAGAATGCCAAGTACTTCCTTCAAACATTGCCCGCTTACGGCTTCACTCAGTCTTGGTAAACAGAAGACAGAGATTAAGCAGCTCACGGAACGGTGCCCTCATGCCCCCTCATCCTCCAACCCTCTCCTTGGGCAATCACGGGCATCATGAGCTAAGAATTTCAGAATGCATACCCAGCCAGGAGCCATTGGTTGCAGAAGTAAGTTTGCTTAGGCGGAGGGCGCCCTCTGTTGGAAGAGCCATTGGTTACGGAAGTAAGTTTGCTTAGGCGGAGGACGCCCTCTGTTGGAACACACTCAGTCTAGCACCTCCCAGGGCTCTAAGCACTAGGAACCAGTTTGTTTTCTCCAGCTTCGTATTCAGAGTATTTTCGTATGCTCTACAAATTAGGATGCTTAGAGGAATGACAGCTTGACTGTATTCCAAGTCAGCACCAATCATCCAGAACACTATCAACAAGCCAGAAGAGCATGCCTGGGGTGCCTGCTCTCAGGAGGCAGACACAGGAGGATCACTCCAAGTGTGAGGTCAGCCAGGGCTAACCAGGAGACCCCGTCTCAGAACTAAGGCTTTACCAGAGAACAAGTGCAGTCCACTTCCTACAGAAGACATCGAATCAGGATAGTAATATGTCACCACTTCATGAAGCGTGTCATCTCCGTGCTGTTAAAGTGTGGGCAGAGGTGTGTGCGTGTATCCACACTATCGAGTGGAAGTCGTTAAGACTCACTTGGAGCTTTCAATTCCCTCTTGTGGGTGTTTCTGGCCAGCGTGCTACACAGAAGCTGTTTTAAATCCCTCTAAGTGTGGTGATCTAACATTCAGACTTTGGTGTGTGTGAGTGCCTTGAGCAGACCTCAGTGATGTTTAGTAAATACCACATATATTGTCATTGGTTTCAAAACTGCAGAGCCAGCGATGCCTCGGAGCCGGCGGGAGAGGAGGTGGTGGAGAGGACCAGGAAGGTCAGCGTTTCTGAGAAGAGGAGCAGCCCATCCGCCTGGGACAGCACCGCAGTGTAAGCTGCTCACTCACTGGAGAGGGCAGGAATGGGGAGCACAGGCTAGCCACGGCGCTCAAGCTGCTTTGTAGAAGGGCAGGTGGACTGTTAGGACTGCCAGGAAGCATTCTGTGGGGATGGTCCACAGCAGCGGCTCCCCTGACCCTGGTTAACAGTGCAGGAACTTGACTCTGCTGCAAGAAGGGTCCCGGGTTTAGTGGGACATGCGTCTATCCTGCTTTACATGAATGAAGGGCTGAGATAAACATGTCAGGAATTAGTGCCTGGGTCACATTCTCAGCGTTGGAGCAGGGCTGTTCCTCTCATTCTAACAGCTATCCCCTAAGCCAAGGCTCCAGCCTAACTCGCAGTCAAGGCAGCCTTGTGGGGTACTTGGTGACCAGTGCCACTGGCGAAGGAGAGTCTCCAAGCCCCACACAGCGTGACTGCCCTTGCTCTCCCCACAGCTGCAGCTCGGTGACTTCCTGGCTCACTCACCTGCGAGTGCCCTTCAGCAGGGCCAACAGGGTGCTCTGGCTCTCGGTGGTCTTCATCGCACTGTTTGCAGCCCTGATGAGTTTCCTCACAGGCCAGTTCTTCCAGACGACTGCGGAGGCTGCGCCCACACAGGAAGGGACCTCCTGGATGTCTCTAGAACACATCTTATGGCCCCTCACCAGACTCAGGCACAATGGGCCCCCGCCAGTATGACTGGAGCGCAGCCGAACGCCCCATTCTAATTTAACGTTTCCCTCTGAGAGTCATGCATTAGTAACTTTCTAGGAACTACAGTGCGGAGCCGGGCTCTCAGGACAGCTGAGATGTTTTAGTTCCCCAGCAATAGCACAGGTATTTTAATGAGCTCTCTGAGACAGACATCATACTTTATTGAAATGTGTCACAATAAAGAACCATTCAAATCTTCGCGCAGTGAAGCTTGAATAGAGTGTTCTCGGGTCACTCGAGTAGTTCATTTGTGACATCAGCCACCTGGAGAGGTGCCCGATTCCCCCGGGGTCTGGGGTCCCGCCAGCGCTCACACAGGCTGTGGAGACTAGGAGTAGCTGAGGACCCGGGTGGCGAGCAGCATGTGGCACACGGAGTCGATGAAGCGGCAGTCTGCGCGCCTGACCCTCTCCATCGCCCCTGGGGACGCGAAGTCCTTCACCATGTGGTACAGGGTGGAGTGGAACTCCGTGTCCTCCTTGAGGGCCTCAGAGAACACCTCACTGTTTTCCCTGACCCTGAGCATCTGCGCTCTGTCACCACTGAACATGAGGAGGGACCAGGGATGGCCCTCTGCGTCTTCCGCCAGGCCCTCCTTCACCTGAAAAGATGCCAGACACACACAGGGAAAGGAGCTGCTGAGGACCCAAACCACCCAGCTGGCAGGCGGTCTCACCGCGTGGACCAGGGGCTAGCCCGGCCTCCCGTGTGCCGCGAGTGAAGGTGCGTGCCTCCATGCACAGCTCACATGCTCTGCACCCCCCATGCCCGACACGCTTCAAATCCAAAGCTGCATGCACGTGGGTGTCTATGGAGCACCTGCCCATGTAGCCACGAGACAGATGTTCCCCAGGTACTGCTCTAGAAGCTGAGGGAAGCTCCAGGATGCCCCACCCAGAGACAGACTCACCCTTCAGACACAGCTCTCAGAGGAGGGAGCAACAAGAGAGGGGGACAAGGTGGCTGCTAATACTGACATCCAGTGCTTTGTGGTGGGGAGGGGTGTGCAGGTAGCAGCTCAGTGACAGAACATACATGCAGTATGTATGTATGTATGTACGTATGACAGCTCAGTGACGGAGCATATGTGCAGCATGTATGTATGTATGACAGCTCAGTGATGGAGCATACGTGCAGTATGTATGTATGTATGTATGTATGTATGTATGTCAGCTCAGTGACAGCATACGTGCAATATGTATGTATGTATGTATGTATGACAGCTCAGTGACGGAGCATACATGTCTGCGGCTCTGGCTTTCAGCCTAGCTCACGGAAAACTTCCATCAACCTTGAGCCTGAACACTGTCTTTTCTATGTGTCGAGCATAATGTGACACAGTTACGCCTGACCTCCACAGAGGCCCTTGAACCACAGATGCCCGCACACACGGTTTCCACCTTTGTTCTGGTGTCAACACAGACATCAGGTCCCAGCAATGGGACCACAGTGGGTAGAGAAGGCACAGTCCTTCAGTGGTCAAGCCAGGGCTAGCCCAGACTCTCACGGTAACACTCTGAATGTCAGGGCCACCTCTTTAGGAGGGCTTTCTCTTTGGAAGACAGGGTGGTTTCACAGGTTTTGCATACTGTACCCCAAACACAACTCTCGTGGAATTGCAGGCCATGTTCCACTTGCTCCAGCAGAAGGCGAAGGCGGGGCTTAGCAGAGCCATTTGCCGGCAGGCCTTGACTTCCACCAGGGGCACCTGTAGAGGGGCAGAAGTGTCCTCAGTCACAGAGTGTCCCGACAAGCCTCCTCTGCGCCTGCCACCGTCCTCACCTCCAATCTTAAGTCAGACTCTGGAACTCCGCTCTGGGAATCAGGCCAGGGTGTCCCTAAAGTGAGCAGAGGCCACAAAGCCCTCTGTGAGCTGTCCCCAACACTGCCTGCCCTTCCTGGTCTGGGTGTCCCAGGCTCCCGGGCCTTCTGTTCTGCAGTCTACAAGCCCGCCAGGCTGCTGCTCAGGGGTGGGGGTGGGGTGCTGGCTGCAGTGGGGCTTTCCACCTCGAAAGAGCCACACACACACACCAGACACCCGGGGGCAGCACGCCTCTCTCCAGCGTTGCCCCCCCCACCCCACCCCCCGCACACCCACACACCCTGCAGTGCAGCCTGCCGAGGGCTCCACACTGCCTCCCTTCGTCTGTTTCTCTTTGCTTTTCCACGGCACTCTTTAGCTCCCTAATGTGCAAGACCATTTCAGTTAAGCTTCTTTCTTTACTAGAATGCCGGCTCCCATGGCAGGGACTGTTCCACAGACAGGAGCAGGGCAGGGCACTGCTGTGCCACCAAGTCACTAAAACCAACTTGTTCCACCTACGCATTTACGTCCATACCCTTAGGTACATGACTGACAGGTGTCACACAGGTGAAAAGACACCGGAAAGTGGCAGACGTGCCCTCCGGTACAGAACGCTTCCTCTAAAACACGCCGTCCGTCCGTCCGTGGTTCAGGGCGCCTGTGGCTTCATTACCAAGCACTGGCCCCGAGGGCGGGGCTGGCTGCTAGAACAGCCCAAGGGTCTGTTGTGGGAGCCGCAGGCTCTCACGAGGGTCGTAAGGGCTGCGCCCCTGCCTGGAGCGCAGGCGAGCATGCAGATGTGGGGGCTGTGCTGAGGAACCGTGAAGGGAATGTTTCACAGGCTGGTGGAGAAGGGCAGAAGAGCAACACCAACAGTAGCCGGGGCTGCTTCGGCTGCGAGTGACCGCGTAGACGGCAGGGCCACTTGCCACACCCCAGTGCTTCTGAAGACTATGACTCTGGAGGGAACCCTAGTTGTCTGGTCCTGCCCCACAGTTCAGTGGGAGCAGCGCTCTGCGTTAGAGAAGCGAATCCTTGCCTTGTTGTTGATGACGACATAGAAGTGAGAGTACACCGACGGGAAGATGTTCAGGCCCGCCTCCTTCAGAGCCAGGATGAAGGGCACCGGGGTCATCCATCTCCCCTCCAAATGAGACTGGTGCTCTTGGCCCTGCAGTCTGACCGAGCCTAACAGGCAGAGGTTCTCCTAAGTTTGGGAAGAGAAAAGGAACGAGTCAGTATTATTCCAGGCCTCGCCTGCTCACTCCCTGTGTTAGCTGTGAAGTCGCTTGACACGCCACAGTCACAGAACGCAGCTGGCCTGTCTTGGGCCTGACCTGGAAGCCCCGCCTCTGGCCCCCGTCATCGCCTCAGGCGGCTCACTACCTTCCTAGGCTCCCTCCGGGCACTTGAGGGATTGGAAATGATCTCGCAGGTAGGTTTATGAAATGTGAGAGCGCTCCATGTTCATTCTGAATCAAAGTGGCCGTTAAACAGTCACGATTGTTTTGTTAGGGCTTACCCTTAATTTTTAACATGTCTGAGATTTAACATGCTGTAAACTGTCCAGTTTTGAAAGGTACAAAGTGTGTACTTGTGCATTCTATATCTAAAAGATCTCAGTATTTGTTCAGTGTAAAAATGAAGTCAGTTGATGGTTTTTACACCAAATGCTCAAAATCCAACACACAGTTCTCGGGTTGAACCAGCTGCCTCTTATTTACGAGCTTAATTGCCACATGGATGGGAACAACCTGAAAACCTAACCTGAAGGCACACTCTACTGAAAGAGACACCCACCCACCCACCCCCACCCCCACCCCCACCCCCCCACACACACACACGCACGCACGCACGCATGCACGCACACACAGCAGGGCGCCTTCCTGGGCCTCAGATTAGGCACAAAGCACACCCAGGTTAAACAGCTGCTTTCTGACTCAGGCAGAAAAACAGCAGCAAATGACCTTGCAGGTGTGATTTTTAAGAGGAGCTATAAGCAGTGTGTGTTAGGATGAGCTAGGGTGTGGCCGTACATTTTCATTAGGCATGTTAATTAGGTGGGTCAAAGCAAAGGGGGTTTCTGAGTGCTGGACTTGAGTGCTCTGGCAGCTGAACCTTGGCAGTTAGCCTCGGGAGGAGGAAGGGGCCACATAAGGGAACAGACCTCAGTGATGAGTGTTAGGATTGTAAAGTAATGGTGTTCAGCAAGGCAGAGGGAATGGAGAAGGGTTAGCCACAGCCACCCTTGCCACGCTCGAGCTGCTCAGAGTCCCTTCGTCTACGACCTGAGGTTCATACACAAACGCTCCGAAGGTGTCAGTCTCTGCCCATCCCAGAGTCATGCACAGTGCTGTCCCTGCACTGGACAGGATGGGTGGGAGCCTGGCAGGGAGGCGGGGCAGGGCAGGGAGGCGGGGCAGGGCAATACCTGGTATACTCTCAGGAAAGCCAATGATCTAACAGGCTGAGAGCAGCTGCCAGTGTTTTAAGGGCCCAGTGACCCCACAGAGGCTTCATTTGTTTTGTTTTGTTTGTTTGCTTGCTTGTTTGAGACAAGGATCGCAGTGTGGCTCTTGCTGGCTGGAACCTCTGCAGGGCTGGGATTAGAGGTGTCTGCCGCCCGCCATGCCTGTCCCCCACCGGCAAAGTCTGATGGTCTGTTGGTGTTTCTGCCGTGTTCAGAAGGGTCACAGCTCTTCTTAAAGCAGCTTCACCTGCATGTCACACACTCACCAGGGATTCTCAGAAACTGGAGGGCGACACCCTCACAAGTGTGCTTTAAAGCATCGCCATGCTACCTAAGAAAGTCCTTAGGCTGCTGCACACTGAGTCTTCTGTCCCTGCCCTCAGCCTCAGCATGAGCCCACTCCTCTGGGGCTTGCAAGGCTGGGTACTTCCTGAGGGGCAGAAGTTTCCCTCAGCAAGACAAGCCCTAGAGAAGCTCCTGAGACAAGGGTGAGGAGGCCACACCCAGATGAGGCTTGCTGGGATGACTGTCCCACCCCTGATGATGGGAACAAGCCAGAGCCTCCATCTTACACATGGTTGCTTGTTAACTCCATGAACTACACTTAGAGACACACTCCAGCACATTTTACACGTGTGCTTGTAGACACACTACTCAACCCATAGGCGGGCTGTGAAGTCGCCCACCTTGATGTGTATCTGGAGCTCGGTGAACAGTGTAGTCACAGTCAGGACAACTCTGTTTACATCGAGGGGTCGCAGTTCCCAGGACTGGTAGGGCATATTGACATGGGCATCTTGAATCAAGGCCACAGGGCCCAGAGTATCCAAACTGAAGGTTATGAGCCTGTCTTCTCGATCGTAAAAGATGCTGCTGATGCCGTCTGTTCTCCAGAGTTTACCTTCACGACAGAAGATGGTGACATTAGTCATGTCTTTCCTATAGGAATGAGTAAAATCATCTCGGTGCACGTACTATGTGCACTGTCTTCTCTATTAAGACTCTCAAGGAAGAGCGCCCCCTGCTGGGAGAGACCTGCCTCCAGGGTCCTGTCCAAACTCCAGCACTGTCTGCAAACCCCAGGGTGCTCCGCATGACTGAGCGGGGAGGCTCACTGTCTGTCTCTGGCCCTTGCCACCCTTCAGACCTGCTTTCAGCCCTGCCCCTCTCCTGCCTGTGCCCATGAGCATGCTACCATTCTTCCGAGCCCTATGCAGAGGCTCTTTACCTGTTTGTTTATACATTTATTTGTTTTTTTCGGTACATGGTTTCTCTGTGTAGCTTTGGAGGCTGTCCTGGAACTCGCTCTTGTAGACCAGACTGGTCTCAACTCACAGAGATCCACCTGCCTCTGCCTCCCTAGTGCTGGGATTAAAGGTGTGCGCCAAGACCACCCTGCTCTGTTTTAATTTTTTTTAGGTTTATTTTTTTGTTTAAGGTTATACTTTCAGGGATAATTTCCAAGTTTGTTATTCATTCATTTTTCATGTGTTTTGCCTACATTTGTGTGTGTGTGTGTGTGTGTGTGTGTGTGTGTGTGTGTGTGAACTCCATGCAATGCCCACGGAGGCCAGTAGAGGGCACTGGCCCCCATGGACCTGAGTTACAGATGGCTGTGAGGGGCCATTGTAGGCTCTAAGAACAGAGCCGGGTCCTCAGAAAGAGCGGCAATCACTCCAAGCCACTGAGCCGTTTCTGCAGCCCTTTGGCTCCTGTTTTTGTTTGTTTTTACGAGACAAGGTTTCTCTGTATTGTTTTGGAGGCTGTCAGTCCAGCCTGGTCTCGAACTCACAGAGATCCGCCTGCCTCTGCCTCCCGAGTGCTGGGATTAAAGGCGTGCACCACCAACGCCCGGCCTGGCTCCTGTTTTAAAACAGCTGTGCAACCCGCCTGTTTACAAGCGCAGTCTTGCTTTGAGGGGTCGGGTGCAGCTGTGCAGCCGTGTCCCCGACACAACGAGATGGTTTTTAAACCTCCTCCCAACAAGACCCCCCCACGTGCACCCCCCTTAACGTTCATTTCCAGACTCCCTAAGACTATCCTGTCTACACTTCTCACAGAGATGCTCTCACACAGTAGGTGGCACGCTTGGCCTCTTGCAGGTCAATAATAAAGGCCCAGCTTAGGAGTGGGGAAAGTGCCTGGTAACAGCCCTGCCCTTGGGAGGCGGAGGTGGGAGGGGCTTCAGTTTGCACTCAGCCTGAGCTATGCCCTTAGCTCAGGGCCAGTCTGGGCCTCAACAAACAGAAACCTAGACAAATGATTCAAAGAAACATTTCGCCAAACAGGGTGGGTGTGAGTCTAACAGTGAAAAGATGTTCAGCATTGGCCACTAGTAAAAAGAAAATAGATCCACTGTTCAGGACCACGTCACACCACTAGACAGGTGACGACCAGTGTCAGCAGGGAGGGTATGACACAAACAGAACTCAAAAACTGTACAGCCAAGCTGAGAAATGGGTTAATAGCCTCTCAAGGTAATAGTCACTTGCCGCTCGGCTGCGAGCAGGGATCAGAGGACAGCTTCGGGTGTTGGTCCTCAACCGTCACCTTACTTGAGGCAGAGTCTCTCATTGTCAGCTGTCCAGGCCAGGCTGACTGCCTGCTGAGATTTTGGGGTTCTCTGGTCCCACCTCACTGGAGCAGCCCAGGGGCTGGAGATGCCTGGAACAGTGCCTGGCGTTTACATGGGCTCTGCAGATTCAAACCCGGGTCCTGGTGACCGTGTGCCCAGTGCGACATGCACTAAGCCTCTCTCTGGGCTAGTGCGGGCAATCTTAGAGGACATAACCAATTAGGAGTCACTCTTCTGGGCAGGCAGGTGTAGCTTCCTGGGTACTGGCTGCCAAGCCTGGCAGTGTGAGTTTGGAACTCTGGACTCCGAGGGGACGGAGGAGAGAACTGATTGCTGCACGTTGTGATGTCACCCCCATGGATGCTGTGACGTGAACACCCCGTCCACCAGAACAAACCGATGACAAGTGTAAACTACAGAGGTCCCGGCTCGCATTTCAGAGGGCGTAGCATCACCCAGCTTTCAGGACGTGGGCTCCATCCCAGTCCTTGGCGGGTAGAAGCAGGAAGGTAAGAAGTCTGGGACATCCTTGATTATACCTTGGATTGGAGACCAGTCCATGGAAGAGAGAGGGAAGGAGGAAGGGAGGAGAGAGGGAGGGAGGGAGGGAGGGAGGGAGGGAGGGAGGAGGGAGGGAGGGAGGGAGGAGGGAGGGGGAAGGGGGAGGGAGGGGGAAGGGAGGAGGGAGGGAGGGAGGGAGGGGGAGGGAGGGAAGGGAGGGGGAAGGGAGGGGGAGGGAGGGAGGGAGGACCGCCTGCTGCAATCTTGCACTGCCCTTCCTGATGCATGGCTGTACCTTCTGCATCCCACCTTATGACCTTGGGGTCCTCGAAGAAGATCACGTTCTCGTGGACCTCCAGGGTGACCTCTATGGGTGGAAAGGCGTTTTCTGGGTCGGGCTCGTCTGTGGTTTCTGGAGGGTATGTAAACCTCTGTAATCCTTCTTGGCGTATCTTTTGAAAGTGACCAGAACAACGAAGATTAGAAGGCGGTGGCGGCAGCAGAGACCCCTATTACTAACCAGCTCTGCGCGCTGTCACACTCATCCGCAGAACAACGCTCGGGCACGCGTTCAAGGGGAAGCGTGGCCAAAGCCCGGGCTCCAGGGATTGCTCTTCACCCTCTCCACCTCAGGTCCCTGACGAGCCGACTGCCAGGGCGTGAGAGAACTCAGGAGACCTGCGACAACTACACAACTACAAGTTCACACCCCAAACACCCAGAACAGAAGTGTGGGTGACCACGGAGCAGCACAGGGGGTTCTGGGTGACGTCCCTAGCTGACAGCAGATGTCTGAGTCAGGGTGGGGCTGTGAACCATTTGAATCAACAAGGAGAGAGGGCGCCAGGGGAAGAGGAGGGTTAGAAAAAGATGTTCTCATGGCATAGGTGGAAAAGAGAAGAGCCTCGCAGTCAGGTGAGCGCATGGCCAGCTGTGCGGGAGACTTCTGTGGACTCCAGTGCTAGACACGAAGAGGTACGGCAGGGCACGGACAAAATTCAAGAACAACAGACTTCGGGTGAATTCTTGAAAAGCCCATCTCAGGCTGAGCCTTCCTGTGGACAGAGTTCTGAAGACTTGCCTTCACAAGGGACGGCTTTTTCTAGGCAAGCACTCTGCCACTGAGCCACACGACCAGCCCCAAAGGGACGGCTGTCTTAGTCTGCCCACCCCAATGCCCTGTCTCATGTGCTCCCATCTGGACCCTTTGGAGTGTGCACAGACCACATGATCTCCCTTAGCTCTGCTTTTATTTCATGGGAAGAAAGGGAAAGGCCTGATCAAGATCAGCTGGGCAGAGAGTCTCGGGAACAAAACCCAGGTATCCAAACAGCACATTAGCTGGTGCTGTTAAAATCTTGCTGGAAGAGACCAGGGAAAGGTGTCTGTACAGGCCTGGAAGTTCTCTCCAAACAGGCACAGGCATGGCACCTGCCAAGCCAAATCCACTACGTGACGCTGAACTGACAAATGGGAGGTGACTTGTTTTGTGGGGTGGGGTTTGAATACTGGGCCTTGCTCAAACCCAAGCCTTCGAATTAAGATTTGGGCATAATTTTTTTGAAACATTCTGGGAAGGGTTGCACAAGCAGTCAGTTGGCCTGGCATGGGTAAAGACATCTTCCTTCCCAGGTATTGGGAATGGGAATATGGCATTAAACAAACAAACAACAACAACAACAACAACAACAAAAACCCAAAACTCTTTAAAAAAGTTTTGTTTCTCAGATATAAAAAATATTTTTCATTTAGAGCTATTTATACAGCTTAGGGCAATTTATGGTTCGGGAGGCCATAGGTGGGGTCAGTTAGCAAATGCACACAATAAAAATAAAGCCAACTCACTAAAAGGTAAAATAAATAAACTACAGCAGTGCATACTTGCAATCTCGGTGCTGGGGAGGCTGAGGCAGGGGGACCACCACAAAACCCCGAGCTGTAAAGCAGGCTGCAGACAGCCTGGTCTGTGAGACCTCGTTTCAAAAAGCAAACAGAAGCTCTGTGGAGGACACACGCCAGGTCCTTCCAGGAGGGGCTGTGTGAGAAGGGGCAGCTCTGACAGAGTCAGCACTGGGGGACTCCATGACAGCTGGGGATTCCTGTCACCGGTGTCCTGGGGGTGTCGTTTGCTGGCAGTCCCAGCTGCCTCTGGACCCTGGCTTTCAGATGCAAGTGAGGGTGTTGCTGAATGCGGACTCCGTGGATCTGAGACCACCAGCCACGAGGACATCTGCAGACATTCCCACAGGCTGCTATGTCACAAAACTCTCCATGGATGGTCTCTACACACTCACACAGGTGCTGCCCCGCCTTCAGGGTGTGTGCGGTGAAAACCTCCTTCCGGGTTTTCGGAGGTTCTGAGGGTCAGATTCAAAGTGCCATCCATGCCAGGACTATATTCTACCACTGAGCCTAGGCGTTTCTGATTTAGTGGGTGCCACATGGGACTTATGCACTTGCCTCTCTAGAAAAGTCCCCAGTGGTCAAAGAGGTCGCTGAAGCTTTTGTAAGCTTGAATCCAGAGCGGGACTGGCCAGCTCCAACCCCTGTGATGTCCCCCTGCCACTGCTCTTCATAAGCACGCCTGAACGAGAACACAGCTGTACCCGCCCTCTCCTACAGGGGCCTCGCGGCTGGTGCCGAAGAGGAGGGCTGTGGGACTCTTGGAGTCAGGGCGGCCTACCAAGGTGAAAATGGCTACCACCTGGCCATTTAGCAGGAAAAAAAAATGTTTGTCAAGCTCTGATGTAGACTAGCAGTACTAAGGATCAACTAGCCCTTTTGGGCATTAGTATTGTAGGTCTACAATTCAGTTAATAGTTAAGAATTTCCCCAAAAATGGGAGTGACGTGCATGAGACACCCAGATCACGGGAAGTGAAGTAAGACATTTCCGCCTGCAGTGTATGAAGAGACGTCTCCCTACCTCTACGAGTACCCAGCCCTTCACTGGTTTGTACTGAGGGGGCAGCTCTAGGATGTCCAGGTGGTACACTCCGCCCAGGGTGGAGAAGTGACACAAGTCCACCTCGTAGTCTTCCTTGGTGTCCGGCATCTCCACGATGTTCTCTACCAGGTGCAGCTGTGCTGAAGGAAGCACAGTTAGTGCAGCTGCAGAACACACTGGAGCGTTCGTGTCAGGAGGGAAATGAAAGCAAAACCCCAGGGCTGCTAAGGAGGTTTGCCTTTGGGTACTACACTTCACACAAGGTTCTTAAAGTGTCTCAGTAGCCAGGCTTGAGAGGAGCGTGTATGTGTGTGTGTGTGTGTGTGTGTATACGTGTTTGTGTATGTGTGTGTGTGTATACGTGTTTGTGTATGTGTGTGTATGTACGTGTGTGCTTGTGTGCATGTATGCACATGTTTGTGTATGTGTGTATATGTACGTGTGTGCTTGTGTGCATGTATGCACATGTTTGTGTATGTGTGTCTGTACGTGTGTGCTTGTGTGCATGTATGCACATGTTTGTGTATGTGCGTATATGTACATGTGTGTGTGTGAGCATGTGTGAGAAAGGCTGATTGCAGTGCACACTAGCATTGTGGGAGGCTACAAATAATAAGCAGGTGTTACTGGTAAAACATTTCATAAAGACAGAAGCAGTTTGATCAAAACTTGATAATTACTAAACTAAATTGGACATGATCTAACCAAAGACGAGTGGGAAGTTCATGGTGGAAAGGTAGATTTTGACCCATGTATCAAATGAAAAAATGGTTACTTTCACAAAAACAGGCCCTGCGCATAGAAAACCCAGGGAGGTGAGCTCCTATGATCTGGCAGTGTGAGTGTTCAGCGAGAAATGACGCCTTCGGACACTGGGACGGGGCCATTCTCACCTCTCACCCCAAGGCAGACAGCCACTGGCAACATCACCCTTAGCTGTGGCCGGACTTTACTCTGCAGACTGGCACAGGTGGTGCCCGCCTGTAGTTCCAGCTCTCAGCAGGTACAGGCAGGAGGAGGGTCCACATGGTGAGGGCTGGGCTAGCCAGGGCTAGGTAATATGACCCTGCCCCTCCCCCAGCTAACGTATCCGGTCTGAGTCCCCTCAGCCATAAAATCCACATGGTGTTAGCGCTGTGTCAGAATTAGGCAGGAGAATGATTGGGCACGTGTAGTTAGTGCCAGCAGGCAGGCAGGAAGACACACGGGGATTACAGCGCATTGCTCCCAAGGGGAAGACACAGCAGGGGTCCCATCTGTCTTTTTCATGAATGTTAACAAACTTCACTCTTTAACTTTTTTTTTCTGAGACAGGATTTTACTGTGTAGCCCAGTCTGTCCTGGAACTCACTCTGTGGACCAGGCTGGTCTCCAACTCAGAGATCTACCTGTCTCTGTCTCCCAAATGCTAGGATTAAAGACCTGTGCCACCACCAACTAGCTTTCAAATGTATTTAATTTATAATTTATTGGCCTAAAAAGGAGCCAGAAATATGACTATGCTGGAATCCAGACGGTGATGGTGGCTCTGACTGGGGTCACCATGGAGGGTCTGTGGTGCTGATGACAGGAGTTCCAGAGCCTACTCTGGTGTCATAGGTCGACAGGTGCTTGCCTAGGATGCACCAGGCCGTCCTTGGGGTCCTCAGCTCACATAAAGCTTACTTGGGAGCCCAGCCTTTGGGAGGTGGAACCAGGTGGATCAGAAGTTCAGGGTCATCCTAAGCTACATAGAGCTTTTAGATCAGCCTGGGCTGCATGAGACTCTGCCTCAGAATATTAAATAATTGAATAAAACACAAAGATTGAAGTGTGCTTGGCAATGTAAGGAGGCAGACAGAGGTTTCTTATGACAAGTATGCTCGGAAGAATGCAGAGCAGATTCCTTGACGTCATTGAGAAAGAAGAGCAGTGAGAGCTGAGAGGACAGACATCATCAGACAGAAGTCAGGCCTGAGATAACCTCCACCTTCCCAAGGTGCACCCGGCACAGGCTACAGGGGCGTGTGCATCCGCACAAGTGCTTGTGAGCGTGCATTGTGAGTGTGCATTGTGAGGAGCATTGTGAGGAACATTGTGAGGAGCATTGTGAGCGTGCATTGTGAGGAGCATTGTGAGCATGCATTGTGAGGAGCATTGTGAGCGTGCATTGTGAGGAGCATTGTGAGGAGCATTGTGAGCGTGCATTGTGAGGAGCATTGTGAGGAGCATTGTGAGCGTGCATTATGAGCGTGCATTGTGAGGAGCATTGTGAGCGTGCATTGTGAGGAGCATTGTGAGCGTGCATTGTGAGGAGCATTGTGAGGAACATTGTGAGGAGCATTGTGAGCGTGCATTGTGAGGAGCATTGTGAGCGTGCATTGTGAGGAGCATTGTGAGCGTGCATTGTGAGGAGCATTGTGAGGAGCATTGTGAGCGTGCATTGTGAGCGTGCATTGTGAGGAGCATTGTGAGCGTGCATTGTGAGGAGCATTGTGAGGAGCATTGTGAGCGTGCATTGTGAGGAGCATTGTGAGGAGCATTGTGAGCGTGCATTGTGAGGAGCATTGTGAGCGTGCATTGTGAGGAGCATTGTGAGCGTGCATTGTGAGGAGCATTGTGAGGAGCATTGTGAGCGTGCATTATGAGCGTGCATTGTGAGGAGCATTGTGAGCGTGCATTGTGAGGAGCATTGTGAGGAGCATTGTGAGCGTGCATTGTGAGGAGCATTGTGAGCATGCATTGTGAGGAGCATTGTGAGCGTGCATTGTGAGGAGCATTGTGAGGAGCATTGTGAGCGTGCATTGTGAGGAGCATTGTGAGGAACATTGTGAGCGTGCATTGTGAGGAGCATTGTGAGCGTGCATTGTGAGCGTGCATTGTGAGGAGCATTGTGAGGAGCATTGTGAGCGTGCATTGTGAGCGTGCATTGTGAGGAGCATTGTGAGCGTGCATTGTGAGGAGCATTGTGAGGAGCATTGTGAGCGTGCATTGTGAGCCTGCATTTTGAGCGTGCATTGTGAGCGTGCATTGTGAGCGTGCATTGTGAGGAGCATTGTGAGGAGCATTGTGAGCGTGCATTGTGAGGAGCATTGTGAGCGTGCATTGTGAGGAGCATTGTGAGGAGCATTGTGAGCGTGCATTGTGAGCCTGCATTTTGAGCGTGCATTGTGAGCGTGCATTGTGAGCGTGCATTGTGAGGAGCATTGTGAGGAGCATTGTGAGCATGCATTGTGAGCGTGCATTGTGAGCATGCATTGTGAGGAGCATTGTGAGCGTGCATTGTGAGGAGCATTGTGAGCGTGCATTGTGAGGAGCATTGTGAGCGTGCATTGTGAGGAGCATTGTGAGGAGCATTGTGAGGAGCATTGTGAGGAGCATTGTGAGCGTGCATTGTGAGCGTGCATTGTGAGCGTGCATTGTGAGGAGCATTGTGAGGAGCATTGTGAGGAGCATTGTGAGGAGCATTGTGAGCGTGCATTGTGAGCGTGCATTGTGAGCGTGCATTGTGAGCGTGCATTGTGAGGAGCATTGTGAGGAGCATTGTGAGGAGCATTGTGAGGAGCATTGTGAGCGTGCACTGTGAGCGTGCATTGTGAGCGTGCATTGTGAGCGTGCATTGTGAGGAGCATTGTGAGGAGCATTGTGAGGAGCATTGTGAGCGTGCATTGTGAGCGTGCATTGTGAGCATGCATTGTGAGGAGCATTGTGAGCGTGCATTGTGAGGAGCATTGTGAGCATGCATTGTGAGCGTGCATTGTGAGGAGCATTGTGAGCATTGTTAGCGTGCATTGTGAGGAGCATTGTGAGGAGCATTGTGAGGAGCATTGTGAGCGTGCATTGTGAGGAGCATTGTGAGCGTGCATTGTGAGGAGCATTGTGAGGAGCATTGTGAGGAGCATTGTGAGCGTGCATTGTGAGGAGCATTGTGAGCGTGCATTGTGAGGAGCATTGTGAGGAGCATTGTGAGCGTGCATTGTGAGGAGCATTGTGAGCGTGCACTGTGAGCGTGCATTGTGAGCGTGCATTGTGAGCGTGCATTGTGAGGAGCATTGTGAGGAGCATTGTGAGCGTGCATTGTGAGCGTGCATTGTGAGCATGCATTGTGAGGAGCATTGTGAGCGTGCATTGTGAGGAGCATTGTGAGCGTGCATTGTGAGCGTGCATTGTGAGGAGCATTGTGAGCATTGTGAGCGTGCATTGTGAGGAGCATTGTGAGGAGCATTGTGAGCGTGCATTGTGAGGAGCATTGTGAGCATGCATTGTGAGGAGCATTGTGAGGAGCATTGTGAGGAGCATTGTGAGCGTGCACTGTGAGCGTGCATTGTGAGCGTGCATTGTGAGGAGCATTGTGAGGAGCATTGTGAGCGTGCATTGTGAGGAGCATTGTGAGGAGCATTGTGAGGAGCATTGTGAGGAGCATTATGAGCGTGCATTGTGAGTGTGCATTGTGAGGAGCATTGTGAGGAGCATTGTGAGGAGCATTGTGAGGAGCATTGTGAGGAGCATTGTGAGCGTGCAT